ATGTAGACCAGGCTGGCCTTGAACTCAGAGATCCACCAGCCTCTGCCTCCCCAGTGCTGGAATTAAAGGCGTGTGCTACCATGCCCAGCTTATTATTTTTATTTCATGAGTATGCATGTATAGCCTGCATGTACGTAAGTGCACCCATGTCGTGCAATGCCCATGGAAGACAGAAGAGGCTGTCAGATCCCCTGGAACTGGAGTTATGGACAGTTGTTAGCTGCCATGCAGGTGCTGGGATTCGAACCTGGGTCTTCTACAAGAACCACCAGTGTTCTTAACTGCTGAGCCATCTCTCCAGCCCCCTTTTAATAATATTTTTTAACATTTTTATTTATTTTGGGGAGATGCTACAGTACAAGGCAGGCAAATGGAGGACAAGCTGTAGGAGTCGGTTCTCTCATTTCACCATGTGGGTCCCAGGGATCAAACTCAGGTTGTAGGCTTGATGGCAAGCACCTTTACCCACTGAGCCACCCACTGAGCCCTTTAATTTTATTATTTATGGTGTGTGCGTCCTGCCACAGTGCATGTGAAATCAGAGGACAGCTTGCAGGAATTGGTTCTCTCTTCCCACTGTATGGGCCCCAGAGATTGAACTCAGATGTTTGGTGGCAAGCATCTTTACCTGCTGAGCCACCTCACTGGCCCCTGTATGTCTCTATGGTAATAACAAAGATCAGATGTGGGGATGCTGGAGAGATGGCTCAGCAGTTAAGAGCACTGGCTGCTTTTGTAGAGGACCCAGATTCGATTCCCAGCACCCACATGGGGGTTAATAATCATCCATAACTCCAATTCCAGGGGATCTGACCCCCTCTTCTGCCCTCTGCAGGCACAGAACCACACAGGTGAATGTACATCCATGCAGGCCAAACACATGTACACATAAAATAAATATGTAATTGCCGGGCGTGGTACCTTTTCCCAGCACTCAGGAGGCAGAGGCAGGCAGATCTCTGTGAGTTCAAGGCCAGCCTGGTCTACATATTGAGTTCTAGGACAGCTGGAGCTATAGGGAGACCCAGTCTCAAAAAGACAGAAAAAAAAAAGTAATTTTTTAAAGGTGAGACTGAAATGACAAGAGCCTGTCAGGAAACTGTGTGAGAACAGCTGGCCCACAGCTGGCATATCAGGCCAAGCCAGGCGAAGTCAGAGACAAGCAGGACACTGCTTCCAGGAGACTGGGAGGCAGGGGATAGATTCCACCTTTCTGGTTTTTCTTTTTACTTTTTTAAAAAATACTTTACTTACTAATTTTAATGTGGGTGCTGGGAACTGACTCTGGGTCCTCTGCAAGAGCAGCTGGTGATCTGAATCGCTAAGTCAGCTCTCCAGCTTCTCTTTTTAGCTTTTTTGTGAGACAGGGTCTCATTCAGTAGCTCAAGCTGGCCTAAACTTACTTTCTTCCTGTCTTAACCCTCAAGCACTGGGGTTACAGATGTGTGTCAGCACACCCAGCTTAAACTTGTGAACTTTGAGTGACTAACTCTGTGGGGTTTTTATTTTTGTTTTTTACAGGGGCCACAGAAGATGACACAGGAGACAACAGAGGAGTCTACAGAGGCTGACACATGATGCACACTACATTTTTAAACATTTATTTTGATTACTTTAAGATTTTTTATTTAATGTGTATCATTGTTTTGCCTGATGTATATGAGTACACCATATGCATGCCTGGTGCCCATGGAGGCCAGAAGAGGGTGTCAGATCCTCAGAACTGGAGTTATAGTAGATGGTTGTTAGCTGCCATGTGGGTACTGAGAGCCTAACCAGGGTCCTCTGCAAGTGCCATAGTGACTCTTAACCACTCAGTCATCTCTCCAGCCCCACAACTCCATTTTTTCAGTGTTGACTTATGATGTAATTACCTGAATTTAAGGCCAGCCTGGTCAACATAACGAGTGACAGTTTCAAAAAAAAAATTCACTCTTTTATTATTATTATTGAGACAAAGTCTCACACAGCCCAGGCTGGCCTCCAACTCAAACCTCATTATGTAACTGAGGCTGTCCTTGAACTCCTGATCCTTCAACCTCAGCTTCCTGAGTGCTGGGACAACAGGTGTGCCTGATTGGCCCAGCTCCAAAATTCACTGATCAGTTTTGATTTATCTTTTTGTGTATGTGTAGTGTACAGGTGTGTGTGCCTTCGAGTGGCACGTGCAGAGGTCAGAGAACATCGGGTGTCCTGCTCTATCACTATCTGTTCCCTTGAGACAGGGTCTTTCCCTGAACCCAGAGCACCCCACTTTCTGGCTATGCTGGTGTCTGGAGAGCTCCAGTGATCCTCCTACCTCCTCCCAGTGCTGGGGCTACAGGCACATGCAGCAATGGCAACTTTTTTAAGTGGATGCTAGAGATCTAAAGTCAGGTCCTCATGCTTGAGCAGAAAGTGTCATCTCCCCTATCACAAATTTGTTCTTCCGAAGTGTCCAGTTCTGTAGTTTGTGGTACATTGCACAGCGTCCAAAGATTGCCACTAACGCTACACCACTGTCATCCCCAGCAAGATAGCCAGAGCCCCCTACCAGCTGATCCCTGTTCTCCCTGTACCCCAGCGACCATCAGTCTGTTTCTAGAGATGGCCCTCTTTTGGACTTTGGCACAGGTACAGAAACAGTCATCTTACACACAGCCTCTGGGGTCTGCCTGCTTTTATACAGAGTAATATTTCAAGTTCATCTGGGACGTAGCATGAATCAGTGCTTCACTCCTTGTCACGGCCGACTAGAATTTTATCAGACAGACATAGTCTGTGCATTCATCCTTTCCCTTTTAGAAACTGCTTTTCTAATTCTGTGTGCGTGTGTGTGTGTGTGTGTGTGTGTGTGTGTGTGTATGTGGCTGTGCATGTGGAGGTCAGAGAACAACTTTTAGGAGCTTGTTTTGGTTTTTTTTATTTTATTTCTTTTTTGGTCTTTTTGAGACAGGGTCTCCCTGTAGTCCCAGCTGTCCTGGAACTCACTATGTAGACCAGGCTGGCCTTGAACTCATAGAGATCTGCCTGCCTCTGCCTCCTGAGTGCTGGGATTAAAGGCGTGCACCACCATGCCCAGCTTGTTTTTTTATTTTGAGATAATGTCTGGCTGGCCTCTAACTCCCAATCCTCTTGCCACAGCCCTCCATGCCTGGCTCTAAAATTTTCCATTTAAATGAAATCTAACTTGCCTATCATTTTTTTGTGTTTGCTTGGAGTTTAAGTTCATTTCTAACAAATCACTGCCTAATTCCAGGTTAAGATGTGTAGGGGTATTTTCTTCTAAGAGGTTTGCTGGTGTGGTGGTTCATGCTTGTAATTCCAGCATTCAGGTGGCTGAGGCGGATTATTCTAAGTCTGAAGTGAGCATGACCCTGTCTCAAAAAGAAAAAAACAAGCCAGGTGTGGTGGCGCACGCCTTTAATCCCAGCACTTGGGAGGCAGAGGCAGGTGGATCTCTGTGACTTCAAGGCCAGCCTGGTCTACAAAATGAGTTCCAGGATAGCTGGGGCTACAGGGAGACCCTGTCTCAAAAAGACCATAAATAAATAAATAGAAAAAAAAAAACAAAGAATTGAGT